TTACCATCCAGCTTGTATCAAAAGGGATGAGACATTCTTTAAATCAAACGCGAAATGGAACTGCGGTATGTTGCATTTTAGTAACTTCTTGTAAATATTTTTCACTTCCATTCAAGTTTAACTAATATAACTGCTGCTAGGTGTCGAAGCCTGTGTTAGTGTTATCTAGATTCATGTTCCTCTTAGCTTGCTTTGCAGTTAGTTAACTGTTCTTCTGTTGACATATGTGTGTGTTGAAAGGTAGCTTTCCATGTCGGTCGTCGGTTTGGATTCTTTGTTCTTGCGTAGTCACTGGATTTGCTATATTAATCTTAATTATGATATGGTATCATACCATTAACATGTGTCTATCGAGTGGTGGCTTCGGGTGTCTGTCATTGGCTTGGACTATTGCTCATGAAGTAGTTATTGCATTACCTTTTTCGACTTTTTCATATAGACTTCACGACGATATCATACTGTCTATTTGTGACTTGGATTCTTGCAGATCAAACGGTTATTATGCTAACATTTTTATTTCAATTATTATGACTAAGTTGTTTGTTCCATTAATTATCTGGTGTTCTATTTGTTGTGCATTTCAGGGTGGCACATATGTAGCACTTGTCAGAAGTCTTCGTATTATATGTGCTATACTTGCACATATTCCTTGTGCAAGAATTGTGCTAAAGATGCTGCCGATTACGTGAGCGTAAGAGGAAATAAAGGATTTTGTGGATTGTGCATGAAAACTATTATGATGATTGAAAGCTCTGCATTAGGAACCAATGAAATGGTATGATTAACTATTCCTTAACTGATTTCTTTTTTAATGTCTCGTCACTTGTTCCATTTTTCGGATTAATTGTGCTTCCTTGTTTGTTAACTGTTGTTATTGGCATGTTTAGATTACTGAAGATTGAAGAGCTTTTGTCTAACTTATAAGCCTTTTAATTTGTGATGTGCAGGTTCAAGTAGATTTTGATGATCAAACGAGTTGGGAGTATCTCTTCAAGAGGTATTGGGTTTTATTGAAAGAGAAGCTATCTTTAAGTTTATGTGAGCTTATTAAAGCTAAAAATCTGCGGAAAGAAATTGCTATAGGCGTTGGCACGGAAAGGTCTTTTGGAGACCTTGGTGCTAGTTATTCTAAGAGAAGAAAAACGATTAAAAGACAGACATATTTGAACAAAGTTGAACATCTAGAAGCAGAGAAATCAGGTGTTATGATAGGGATGCCTTTGCCCGAAGGCACAAATTGTGCAAGTGACAAGGGACTCACAAAAGGGTATCCTTTGTTGCTTAATATGAAAGAAGAGCCCCCCTCTCCACTAAAGAGAGGTGATGTCTTGAGTGATATAGGAAGCAGAGAATCTAGCATGACACCTCATTCTACTGAAACGGAGCTATCTGTAAATAATATCGAGACAGATAAAATATGGCACTATCAAGATCCATTTGGGAAAACTCATGGGCCATTTCCTATGGCAATGTTACGTAGGTGGCGCATGAGTGGTCTTTTGCCACCTGATTTAAGAGTATGGAGAGCAAGTGAAAGGAAAGAGGATTCCACTCTCTTAACGGATGCTTTGGCTGGGCCGTACAGCCAACAGCAACAGCTGTTTCATAAAAGCTGCGTACCAGTTTATGATGCAAGCTTTTCCCCTAATGATGGATATCAGAACAAGGTTGGAGATGTTAGAGGGAGTTGGGATCTGAATGTGGATCAGATTGAAAGTAAACAGGGGGAGGTGAGCTCGAACTCGATGCAGAATGATGCAAGTGGTCGTTGTTGTGGTAACAATGAATCTGCAAAGAGCAAAGAATTGGGCTCGCAATCTTCTTCTTGTGCTACTCCTATAGATATTGTCACTTCCAATGCAGTACAAACAGGAAGTCCTTTGACACAATGGGAGTCTGGGAAGGGTGATAATTACTTCCCTGGCCAGCCTCGAGTGAGTAGCTCACTTCCGTCATCTACATTTTCTGGAAAATCATGTGAAACACAGTCTCATCTAGTTATCACAGGTCTTGGGGTTGAAAAATGGGACTGTGGTTCCATTAACTTGAACGAAATTTCGAACAAGACCTTCGAAGGTCAATTTATTGGTGGAAATGTGAAGCAAAATGATATTGAGGGACAATCAGGCAAATCTTGTGGGCAAAGCTGGAGATCGCCTTTAAATAATGCTTCAAATGGACGGGATGTCAATTGTGGTCTCATTTCTTTGGCTAGAGCTCTTGAAGCAGCAGAGCACAATCATGATATTGACTTCCTCGATCTTCCTACCTCAACATCAAAGATGAACCTCGAAGACTCGAAACCACAGGGTACTAAAAACAAACAGTCTCTTTCTGCGAGTGCTCTTCATCAAGATTCGGGTCCTAGTTGGAGTACAGCTTCTAGTCTAGTTGTTAATGGATCTTTGCTTTCTGAAGTAGCTGATGAATGGGGTGGGTATTCCTCCACTCCAGCAAAACCTTCTCCAGAGAAATGGGACTCGGATCTTGTTCCCGAGTCTTCTTTGAAACGAACTAGCTTGGGAAATGATCATGCTGCTACTCCAAGGTCAGGAAGTGGTCAATTGGCACATTCTTGTCTCTCAGATCCTGCAGAAAATGCATCTGCTTGGGATCCAATTATTCCTGACCCCAATGAGTATTCTTTTGGTGATGAGTCTGTTTCTGATCTCTTGGCTGAAGTTGAAGCGATGGAGTCTCTTAACGCCTTGACTTCACCTACGTCGATTTTCCGTTGCAATGGAGAGTTGGCTCAATGTGCTGAACCCGATTGCTTTAGCCCTGCACCTGATCCAGGAAAAAGTGATGCTTTGAGCTCAACAAATGATTTACGAATGTCATCTGAGTCGATCTTGACAATTGGGGTCTCCAAGTCTGAAGTTCTTGATGGTCAGAAGAGTTCTGGCCGGCATTCTTCCACGAGTGCTGAAATGGATGAAGATAAATGGCCCAGTAATGTCTCGGTTAACCAATATGAAGCTGGTGTAGGGATGCAGTTTCATGCACCAGCAGTAACAACTGGGGGCATGGCTTCTATAGATACCACTTGGAGAACAGGTCGAGAAACTACGGAAACCAACTGGGAAGCCATTCAGGGAAACCATATTTTCAATTCGGGAGGCTTAGATCAAGGAGCTAGGAATTTCAGTTGGGGAAGAACCAGTCCGGGAACCTTCCCGTGCAACGGAAGCACCAACTTAGGCACTTATTGGGGAAACCAACAGGAGGGCCTTGATTTTCAGGGAAGAGATTCAAGTTTTAGCCGGGGCAGGTCCTCAATACATAGGCACTCGACCTACGATGGTTTGTAAATTTTATGAAAGGGGAGAATGCAACAAGGGAGCATCATGTAGCTATTGGCACCCTAGATAAGGTAACCATAACAATGGTGTGCATTTTGACTGTTAGACTGTTAGTTTGTTCTCCAAAATTTGACACGTCCGCTGTAACAGTAGTGTATCGTTCATTATTCAAGTTGGGCATATAACAATACCATATTATATTTGTGCTATGAATATAAACAAATAAATAATACCTCACCTTTTGCAATGTAGCTACCCTTAGCTTTGTAAGCACTATAATCATTATTTCTTGCATCTTTGTCGTATTTTCACATTTTTTTCTTATAATGTTTAAATTATTTACTTTTTTTTTCATATCAAAAGATGTTTAAGTATGTTTAGACTTGCACCTTTCTTTAAGGGTAAACTACAAGTTTAGTATATAAACTATTACTTTTGTTCCATTTTAGTATCCAAACTTGATGTTTTTTAATAATCATACCTAACATTTTTCAATTTGATACTCGTCGTTAAAAAATTGACAAAATTGTTAACAAGGTATTTTTTTTCAATGATGACGTGACATTATTATGATGACATGTTAATGTTAATGTTACTGTTAAGTTTGTAACGGTAGGATACCAAAATAAAATATAAACTAAATGATAAGTATGATTTTGAAAAAAAATAAAGTTTAGGTACCTAAAATGGAATAAAATTAATAGTTTAGGTACTAAACCTATAATTTACCCTTTTTGAATTTGTATGGATTATAACGGTTTGGTTTAATTTGATTAAAAAGGAAAAGATGTTTTGGTTATTATTTGTATTTTGGTTTTAAGAACTTAATAGGAAATTTAACCATTGAATTTTATCGATTTAGATGATTCAGTTTATTAATTTTCTAAAAGATTTTTTGTACCATAATATTAGGTTATTTTCCCTAATTTAAATATAAAATATTTTTTATGAGTTAATTATAAATTAAATTTTAGATATAGAGAATTGTGGTAGTTTACTTGTCATTTGTCAACGGAAAAATGAATAAAAATAAATTGAATATATCTAATTATTAATTAAATTAAATTTAAATTGATTTTGAATTGGATAAATTATACTTATTATCACTAATATTCGGTGATTTTTTTATTATTGAAGATGTCAAGTTAATTAAAAAGAATTAATATCTAATTTGACCCTTAAATTAAAATTAAAGCATCAATTTGATCTTTTATGTAAAAAAATTAAAACTATAATTAAAAAATATTTAACAATATCTAAAAAAATCCTTATATATATAATTTATACCATTTGAATAGTAAAATTAGAAAATGTATAAAATATATAAAAATAATCTAAAATAATTGAAAATACATTTTTGTTTGAACAATTTAAAAAATGTTTAAAATCTTAAATTATAAATAATGATATAATAAAAGCGATGATCGATAATAAATAAATGATATATTCGATAATGATAACTTGATTTTGGAATTAAAGGACGAGGAGTTTTATTTTTTATATATATTTTAGAAAATATTTAGGTCGTTTTAAAATTATAAATATAAATATTCACGTGTCATACTTTAAGTAGTTAGCATATTTAAATAAAAATATTTTAAATACTTAAAAGGTTAAAAATATAATTTAAATACTTATTTTTATTGATCTTTTTATTAAGAAAAAAAAAAGATCACATGAACTCCGTCTTCTTCTACATTGTTGCTCTCTTTTTCATTCTGAAAAAGCAGCCATTAAAAGACAAATGAATTTTGTTTGAGTTTGGGATTTCCATTCAAAAGAGTGGACAAACGACACGTTTCATCGGCACACCATTGAGTCGAGCGGCCCGAGGTGCAGTGAGTCCAAACTCATCACTCATGTCGAGCTCAGTCGGCTTCATCAAATCTGGCAACTCCCACGTGAAACAGTGAAGCAAGTGACCCACGGCCAAATCGAGTGCGTACAACCCGAGTTGCATGCCCGGGCACGAACTCCGACCCGAACCGAAAGGAATGAACTCGAAGTTGCCTCCTTTGAAGTCCGGCGCACCTTCGTTTAGGAACCTCGATGGCCTAAAACTCTCGGGATCTTCCCATGAATCCTTGTCTCTGCCAATGGCCCATGCGTTGATCATAACGCGCGACTTGGCCGGAATTCTGTACCCTGGCACCACCGCCTCCTCCGCCGTCTCGTGGAGCAAGAGTGTTTCCTTGAGGCAGCACTTTAGGTAGGGTAGTTTATCGAGATCGGATTCTTCCATACGGCGATCGAGGCCCACCACCTCCGCCAGCTCCCATTGGACTCTCTTCATATCCTCCGGAGTTCTCATCAGCTCCGTCAATGCCCACTCAATCGCCGATGCCACCGTCTCTGTCCCACCGAACATCACATCCTAACAAAACAAATAAAATTAAAAATGGTGATATAATTTTTGCTGAAATTCTGATTTTGATTCCTCTGTTGTACTCAATTTGATATTTAGTCCCTATAATCTAGTTTCTAGATTTTATGTCATTGATTAGTATAAGTTATAAAAAAAAGGGTTTACTTTTACAATTAAAATGGTGATTTATTTTTACAAAATCAGTCATGCAACACAAAAAATTCCAAAGTTTGCATGTTAGAATTGTTGTTACGTATTTTAAGGAGAAAATTTGTTAATCTTATGAGCTCTTTATACCAATTAGAGACAAATGAAAGATATTGCGCAAAATTAAAATCTAGAAACTATATCTCAAATTTGTGTGTAGAGGGATCAAAACCATAATTTGACCATATAATTCTAACCACTGTTTCATATTTACGTTGAAGGGACGTACCATGATAACGGCTTTAATGTTGTCTCTGGTGAGTCTGATTGAATTAAGATCATCCGACTCATTTACTTTGGCTTCTTCACAGTAAAAGGCAAGTAACTCATCAACCATGTCGGTCTCACCATAATCGCCACCGCGGCCGCCGCCGTTAACGTAGCTCTTCCGCTTCTGGATATGATCATCGATGATGGTATCAATGAACTTATCTAACGCAAAACGAGCCTTCTGGAGCCTGGCGTTGAGCCCTTGAGGATCAACCCAACCGAGCCAAGGAACAAAATCAGCAATATTGAAAGCACCAAACAGCTTCGAAAACTCTTTCAGGATCTTGATAAACTCGTCTTGCCCTTCTTGGGAACTGGACCCAAAGGCCGCCCTATAAGTGATGCTCTTGGTCAGGTTAAAGATCAACTCACCCACGTTTATTGCCTTCCCGTCACAGGATGAAACAGCTTGAACGAGATTCTCCACTTCATCTCTCACGGATTCCCATGATTCTTCTCTTTTCCTGCTGAAAAGCTTCACCACGCAAAGCTTCCTCATCTGTCGCCAGAACGGTCCGTAATGGGCGAAAGCCATGTCGGCCCTGTCGTACGTTAAATAGCTGATGGCGATGGTGGCTGGCCTGTTGGAGAAGATACTGTCGTGAAACTGAAGAACTTGTCCAGCCATCTCGGGGTTTGAAATGGCGACTATGTGTATACACCCCATCTCCAGGTGAAATATGCCGCCGTACCTGCGCGCGAGCTTGGCGAGTCCACGGTGAGTTAACTGGTCCATCATCAGCATGGTGCCGGTGATCGGCAACCCTTTGGGTCCTGGAGGAAATGGTTTTCTTCCGAGCTGATAAATTAGACGTAGGAGGAAGAGGAAAGGGATGACGACGAAAAGCAGTGCCATGGGTATTGGTTCCATGTTCTGGATTTTTGCAGACATGGAAATTTCGACTCTTTGTAAAACTGAAACTCTGAACGTTTACTAGTGTTTTTGTCGAGGTTTTATACTGTTTTTTTACCAACCCCCAGTATTTAGAAAAAGGCTAATTCTTATTTTAGTCCCTTTTTATGCTAGATTTTGTTTTCACTCCATTTAATCCTTCTATTGTTATAATGTTGTTAAATTGATAACACCAATAGTTGTTCTTGTTAAAGTGATGGATTTAATCATTTTCTATATAAAAAAACTTAATCATATAATGTGTAATTTATTATTTACTGGTTGATATGGTTGAATGAATTTTCATGTGACTTTAAATATGAGTCCATAGAACTCTAAAACAGAGACGAACATGTCATCACTTTAATATCATCAAATTATCAATTTAGACCCACTAATAATATTTATAAAAGTAAAAAGCTTAAATTATGATAAATTAAAATAAAATGATTAAATTTCAACTTTCAATATGATAAAGGGACTAAAGCTATAATTAAGAAAAAAATAGTTAACCTCGATACAACGTCTTCCAGGCCAACCAGATTTGTGCTCTTATTATATAGCGTATTAAGCGATTTAATTGTCATTTAATTAAGCAAAACATTTCTGTTACCTTAATTATTAGCTTTGTTAGTTTGTTATCAGCAGTGTACTCTTAATTATTAGCTAAATCATTTTGTTTTATTTTAATACCCGCCGTTAAATACATAACGAACGGGCTCGTCGACTGTCAAATCAACGATCGTCGGCTGTCGCATTCATTAGCTGATGAAGCCCAAACTTTCCGACATGTACCTTTTTGACCCTTAAATGTGATTTTGACCTCCATTTCAACGGAAAATACTTCAATATCTCCAAATCGATGATGCACTCTTTGAGTTTTTCATCCTCTGATCTCCATCGTCAACCGTGTAATGAGCCTGAAACTAGACTATGTTTGTAACATCCTCGTTACCGGGTTAATAACTAAATTGTAAAATTTCATAATTTCGTGATAAAAGTAGAACAGTTGAATAATTAAATGATTTATGTAGAGATTTTCTAAAAGTTGTTAGTAATCATTAAAGGAATTAAAGAGCAAAATAATCATTTGACTAATAAATGAATAAAATAATGATATATATAGGGATAAGGTTAAGAGATTCCTCCATAAATCTCTTCACTCTTCATTCTTCATCTTCTTCTCTTCTCCAACGTGCCCAAGCTAGAGCAAATGTGAGTTTTCTATTTTGTTGATTATTTGTTAATTTTAAGAGTGGGTTTTGATCATTAGATGATAACTAAGCTTAAGGAAAGCTTAAGTTATCTTAAAATCAAAAGATGAAGAAGTTATGAAAGATTAAAGAAAATGAGTTTTTAAGTGAATTCTTGGAAAAGAATTGATAAGTTGAATTTAAAACTAAATTTGACTTGTCATAGGTGTGAATAAAAAGTTATAAGTGTTAAATTAAAATTTGGATAACATGAAAAATTTGGTATGATTCTTAGCCTTAAGAATTTAGATGAAATATGGAAGATTATAAGGTGTTGGAATGATAGGAATTTGTTAAAGTTGTTATAGATGAATTTAGTAGCATAGTAAGGATTTTATACATGAAAATTTGGGAGAAGTGTTGATGATTTTCGGATGAAATAGTCTATTCTGGGCAGGTGCATCGATGCACTAAGATAATTTTTGAATGTGCATCGATGCATTAAGAGGTGCATCGATACATGGAAATTTCGAAGTTATTTTGGGTACCGATGGATACAGAGTGCATCGATACACTTCTTAAGGAAAAGTGAATTTATGGTTTATCAAATTAGCTCAAGTTATTAATACCAAGTTATAAGGTTTAGGCTTCTGAAAATCGTCTTGAAATTTATGTTATGTAGACATTGAGCCTAAACAAGTTTCGGAACAATCAAAGAATTAGCATTGAATCAAAGCAAGGCTAAGGTGAGTGCAATTTTAATTGTACTTATATTATTGAACGAACATTGGCTTGCGATGAGCCAGTGATGGAGTTACAATGGTAAGAAGTGACTCATAAAATGTTATTTGATTGTGATTCTTATATGTGCATGAATACATGAAATGGATATAGGTTATTATATATGTTACATGATTATATGCATATGTGATATATGCTATGAGACATGACCAATGTGAAATGAGATAAACTATGTGACTATATGAAAATGTTACATGATCTACACGCTTACATGAATATGCAATATGTATTACATGTTATATGAAATGACATAGATGGTTACACATACATGTGGTATGTGACAGAAGAGAAAGAACAAGTGATATGAAATGTATAAATGATAATGTCTATGTTATATGATATGAGAGTTAGTAGTATAGTTGGCATGCCAAGAGTCGAGGGTTACCTATGTTCTATGGAACATATGGACAGTTTATCTATGTTCTTCGAAACATATGGACAGTTACATATGTCATTCGGGACAAATTTCATAGCCCTTAGTGGACCCCACATGAGCTATGGTGACAGCATAGTGCACAACCTCAATGTACTTACATACCTTAAGTTCTTAGTAATGTACATGGGCTTACAAAAAAGTATAAAAGTGTTTGCATTATTATATGTTATCATGTTATTATTATTTACATAGAATCATATGTGACATGATTGAATGAGTAGATGATATGTTCATATAGATATGAAATGCATTATTTTTATTATATGTTTTATATGCCTCACTAAGTCGTAGACTTAGCGTATGATTGTTTCACACGTAGGTTCCGAGAAAAGGAAGATTGGTAAAAGTTATGCAAGACAAGTCAGTTTCTCCTTTCTAAATATTAGATCAGAAAAGAAATGTATAGTATGTATGTTGTAATAAGGAAAGTAGTTGGCATGTAAATAAAGGATTAATCCGATATATTCTAATTGAGTTTTGTAATGTTTTAAATGCGAATATGTAATTGATAAATTTTATACGGATGAAAGCTTAGATTTTTACGAGTTTATATGTATTTTTACGAAAGTTACTGTAGTAGTGCATCGATACACAATTGATATTCAAAATTTTCACTGTTCATGGTACTGTACATAACGTATTTTACTGTTCATAAAAATGTATTTTTTCAAATTGGGTTTAACGAACATAATTCAACAATATATGATAGTATTTTCTTAATATGAGTTCAAATGTTTTGATATTTTATAAGAATACTGTTTTAAAAAGTCAATGTGACATCTCGGACTCGTATCCGGGTCGGGTACGTTTGGGGTGTTACAATGTTGGTTAGCTCGTCATTCTCTCGTGGTCCACCATTCGAATTGGTCGTCTATCCACCAGAGCTATGCCCCGTATCAGACCGTCTGTTAAATTTTTAACGAGGGGCACTAAAATGAAACAAAAACTAAACATTAGGTATGATTTTGTAAAAATTAAAAATTTTAGTACTAAATCGGATCAAAATTGATAGTTTAGGTATTAAATACGTAGTTTACCCTAGATTTATACATAGATAATGGTAGAATCGTAATTAACCGAAACTCTTGGCCCATCCCATTGCCGAAAGCTGAATTTGCTTATTTAAAGAGAGCGAAGGGAATGAGACAAAAACCGAGAGAAGCATTTTTTGCGTGGCGAATTTATAGTATTATTTTATACGTTTGAATTCGGTTCCCATTCTCCTTTGAAGAACTAATCTAAAATGGCAGCAGAGGAAGGCCAAGTGATTGCTTGCCACACTCTTCAGGCTTGGAACGAGCAGCTTCAGAAATGCAACGAATCCAAAAAATTGGTATTTTGTTTTGTTTCCGGTTTTTTTCCCTTCATTTTCTCTAATATATTTTATTCGATTTTTCATTTAGCTTTCGTTTATGATTATTTTGTTTTTTTTTTCCAGATCTGATCTGTTTTCATTTGTTTCTGGATTTGGAATTTTAATCTAAATAATTTATCATTTATGATTAACGTATTCTGATACAGAGGATATTTGTGAAACAAAGAGCCACAGGCTTAATATTTAAAATGTTTTGTTGAATCTTTCTGTTAAGAAGAGTAGAGTCAAAAATCTATTTCACAATAGAAAAGGGAGACTAAAATCTAAATAAATATACACTTTTTAATAAATAAAAAAAGGAAACAGGGGGCAATTTTTCTGGGGTTATAACAGAGCTCCGTCCCTGCTGTTAAGGTTTGTATACAAAAATGTCCTGATAAAAGGGAAAGGTGCTTAAGAACGACAATAGGAACGTACACTAAGGAAATAAAAGTGACTTTATGGTGACAAATTCCGTTACTTGACCCTTTGTTTTCCCTAAATCTAAAATGGGCACTTGAATATTTGGATATGAATATACAATACGTCTAGTTTAGTCCACATAAAGTTTGAATATTTTTCTGTTAATTATACTCGATTTGAAATTTTATTTGCGTTTATCTACGTACAAAAATTGTGTTATTAATATATTCACCCTCAAAAATATTTTTAAATCCATCAGTATGAGATTTCCATATCCAAATCGGATGCCATAGCCTGTTCTCCGAAAACTTTTTCAGCTTTCATTTTTGCACCTTCTATTGTAATTACCAGTACTTTAAGGTGATGTGATAAATGAAGGTGGTGGTTGATTTCACTGCATCATGGTGTGGACCCTGCCGCTTTATTTCACCTTTCCTGGCGGAACTAGCCAAGAAATTCCCTTCTGTCACCTTTCTTAAGGTGGATGTTGATGAGTTGAAGTTAAAAATCCAGAATTAAAATCACCAATATTCTATGAGGTGTGTTGGGTATGTACAAGTCGATCAGATTCGATATTTTTTTTTCTCAGGATGTTGCTGCCGATTGGGCTGTTGAGGCAATGCCGACTTTCATGTTTCTCAGGGAGGGTAAGATTTTGGGAGAAGTAGGAGCACAGAAAGACGAGCTTCAACAGACTGTTAAAGCATATGGCTGCCTCTAGTACTACTGCTGCTTGATTATTAGTTCTATTATCACATCTTTCATGTCTGAAGGAGCTTATTATTAAAGATCTCATTCTGTCCTGTTATGGGTGTAAATGAATCGAACTTAAACGAATAAGACTATATTCATGTTTGTATGTTTGTTTCTGAATTTGTTTATATTTAATTAATGTCTATTTGTTTATTTTTAAAGGTGTGTTTGTTCAATTTATTTAGCATTCACGAACATATTCATGATCGCTAAGTGAAATGAATATGTTCATTTAAGGTTAGCAAGCATGGTCAACAATCAACACTCTTTTCCCTCTTTTATTAGCAAGCCAAAGAAAAGTGGTGAAATTACAACATCAGTCCTTAAGCACCTTAAGCTTCAATAATTGAACTTCAAAGTTCACTACATATTCAATTTAGTTCATAGCTTCACCGATAGTTAAAATGTAAAAGAAAAAAGAAAACAGGATAAACAAAAACAAGTCGATAAACAAGTTAATAAATGAACTTGTTTGTAAATATAAATGAATCGAGTACTAAATTCTATATAATATTTATGGCATTTTTATTCAACAATCTTCTACCAAATTCTCTTTCAAGGACCTAGCAATTAATAGCAATAAGCTATTTTAGTATTATGAAACAAGAACGAGAATGGTTGTAATTTCATGGAAAATAGATGAAACTAGTTAGAAGACCAACGGGTGCACAGCCGTAAAATGCGACCGGTTTTCCACTTCAGATACCACAGGCAACTGCTGCATTCTCCACGTTGTAAAAAGTGGTTAATTTGGTTATAGCTAGTGCGTCCCCATGAAGTGATGTTCTTGTGGACTTTGTTATATGAACTTCTACACATTCTCCAACAGCGGGATACCTTTTGCCATCCATCCGATTATCTCGATCTGGCAGAGGAAGATTAGCAAATGAAACTCTATGGCAGCAAATTAATTGAGGGAAGTGGAAAGAAATGATTTTTATCTTCATGGTTAGACAGTTTGGTAACTTTTTCAAAGAATGGCTGGGCGTATGGACCAAGTAATTATTGTCAACACGGTAACTTTGATGGAACACAAAATGACAGCAAATCAAAATAACAGAGACTATGGATTAAATATGTATATTAACTTCAATAAAAGAATTGTATTTAGATTAACACCGATAATAATTAAATTCCCCAGCATGTTTCTAGGGAAGTTTCATTTCCTTGCCTCCTAAGCCCTGGTTTCTAAACCAGTAAGATAAAAAAAAATAGAAGAAGGTCGGACTCATGCAGGGGGACAGGTATAATATATATGTACATTGGTCCTTGCAGGCCAATTTAATGATCCAGTCAAAACTATAGATTGGCATCTTATGAGAGCATTGCTAGACGTCCAGAGTGCATTTGAAGGGTGTGGGGTGGCTTGGCCTTGTTAAGAAACAAATTGTTCCACCGCCTATTTCCTCGGCGTCTGTCAGCTTAGGCGTCTCATCCTTCACCAAAACTAGGAATGCAAATCGAGGTTTCGAAATGAGACAGGTTCATAAGCGAACGATAAGAAAAAGGGGCAATATTATGATCTTAATAGCTTACCAATAAAGTCCTCTTCTTCTTCTTCCTTTTTTCAATATATTCCGCGAGCTCCTTCTGCTGAGCAAATGAGTCCTCTAGAGCCTGAAAATGCAAGGCAATGGCAACGGCAATCACTTTTAAGTCCGTACAACACCGGAACACTAAAGATAAAGCTTTGCAGTTCCTTTTTCTTCTTTTTTATATCTCACACTCGGGAACGAGTGTTTGATATGAGTTTATTAAAAAATTTCCAAGATTTCCATGTATTTTGATGGTACTTGAAGGGACTAAACCCCTAGATATGAGTCTAATTATAATGCTTCAAGAAAAATGAAGAGTAGAAGCAATATAGATAGATGCAGTTATGGCTTGTGCTAATCTGATAATTATATGACGTACATGATTCCATAAAAAATATAGCAACAATTTACCTTCTTGGTTGCCATAAGCTCTTGTTCCAAGGCATCAGCCCGGCTTAGAGCAGAATTCAACATTTCTTCCTTCTCAGGGGGCATTGTTGTAGATTGCATGTTGATAGCAGCTAGTCTCGCTTCCAACTCAGCCATACGTTTCATGACCGACTTCAACTCATTAGGAGTGATGCTTGGTTGGGGTGGTATTTCCTCAATCTTAACCGTTGAGGGAGCCGGAAGTGCAGGCCTGACATCACTGGCCTTTATCGGCATGTTGCGTGTCACTTTTACCATGGTGGCAACTCCCATAACAAAGGTCATCAAACCATTGAACAGAGGAGAGCTAATTACATCAGGTTTCTTGCAACTTTCTTTCTTGGTAAAAGAATCTGCAATTCCACAATAAACCTTAGCACCTGCTATAATTTAGAATCCTAATATAGTACCTTAGATACCGTTATAACACTAAGAAAATGGAAAATGTGACATTGACGCCTCATCAAGGAACATGCAGAGCAAATCACAATTTGAGTAAGCCATGTACCTTTTGGTAGAGGAGCAAAATTTTCATTTTGCTCTCTTTTCTGCAAAGCCAAATCCATAGGTTCTTTAACCACTGGAACAATTTCCATTGAGGTCTTTGGGACCTGGGAATTTCAGAAGAAATGGAGGAGGTCAAGGGAAAGCATGTAAATTCAATCAGGTCAAGATATCTGGGAGCTCTGCTCAAGTACTACGTTGATAGGCCTTGCATTGAATCCTCTAAGGTAGCGACATTTTTCATCACTTTTTTCACATTTTAGGTCCTGAAATCTCCCAATAATTGACAATATTCAGAAAGAAGGGTGCTAAACTTACAATATCCAGTACAGGGGCGGGTTCCAAATGCTCAATTTGATTATTTGATGGTTTATCTGCTGCATCTGGAACTGGCTCAGCACCCAAGGAATCACTAGCCGGTGTAGTCTGTGAAACAAACTACTTGGTCAATCGATGAAATAATAGGAGTCAGAGTAACATAGGTCATCAATATTGAGGGAAAAAGAGCAAGAGAAGTGCATGTTGATAGAGAAAGTAGAACCTCCGTGGGCACAGTTTTGTCCTCTGAAGCCGTTTTCTCTTCAGTGCTTTCAGCCTGAGATTGCTTTGAGCCTTTATGTGCACCACTTTGAACAATCTGCAAGTCAAAAAAGAAACGATTAGGAGTGCCTTGAATCCTGATTACAAACAATACTAGATAGTCAATATGACTGCAACTGATAAAACAGAAAGAAAAACAAATGACTGGATCACCTTTATGATCTCTGGGTTCTTCCATGGACCCTTGTCGGAAACCATGCAACCACCATGTTCAGCACAAGTGCAAGTGCCTCCCAAAAAATCGGGTAATTCACTGATATAAAGCCCGAACATCAGCAAAAAGGTAAACATATACGAAAAGGAAGGAAGCAACACAGGTAATTTGTTGCAACATGAAAAATAAACAAAATTCAGAGAATCTGATGGGAATATACCTTTCATCAATTATTTCAAGTAAATTTTTCTGAAATTTGTTACCAAGAACCTGGGATGTAATTGGTTTCACCAATTAGTTTCTTATTAGTTAAAAATTGCAAATTCAGGTGTGAGGAAGAGAACGTAATATGTATTCTTACATTGATCTTGGCTGTGGTCTTAGGATCAAGGAAAGACTTGACAGAGTTCCACAACATTCTAAATCCAGAACCGGCATTGATGATGAACATGCGGTTTAAAGTCTGCAGAAAAGGCAACAGCATTGCACATAGCCATTCCGTCATTTAAAGTTTGAAACATCATACAAAAAAAAACCTTGCTATTATGCATGAATAATGTTAAGGAAATCAGTACCTCAGGATAATTATCACCGTCAATCTTCTGAAGACTACCTACAAGGTCCCTTGCAGCTTTAGTGAAGCTCTTAAGACCCTGTGTCATTAACTCCAAATTAAGACAGAAGACATTCTTATACATGATTAAAAGTTTCCTTTTTTTCTATATTTGTAAAAATAACTGAGTTCGGATTTGTTAAGTGAGTATTGAATTTGTTGTATTATCGATATAGTCATTATTGAATCTCACTTACCACTCCATTCACATCCAAGATGGTTGTGCTTTGATCAATATGCTTCTTGACTGCAATTGAGCAAGCTGGAAACTTCATTTGGAAGGTCTTCTCAAACTCCCTTACATGGTATTTGAGATAGCGGTCCATTGTAGTGACTTGCATGAGCTTGCCAGCATCTACCATACCTAGTCTTTCTATATAAACTGGTCGTCCATCCTTATCTACCCCATGGTACCCTTGGGGATAATATTTCAACACTTCTGAGTGCTCCTTGAAGTCAAAGTCCTAAAGGAAGAAAATAAGTCATTTTCTAGAGAATTTTCAAAAAAGGCAATATTCAACAGGAACCTTAAACAAATAGAAGAATTCTATGCTTTGTAAGAAGAATACCTCAATAATTGTGTCGGTACCAAATTCCTGCCTCCATTGGAGCATATTAGTCCACATTTCCTTTGTTTTCTCCATGTCAAATCTTCTAGCCTTCAAGAACCTGCATTATAGAGAGGTCAGTAATGTTGAAACTTAAACATAATAGAGTTGAACATTCTCTTATTAACTGAAATCTTGGAGGATAAATGGCCACTTAAATCAGACTGTGCATTGCTGCTCAAATCTTTCTTGAACTTGCATTCTACAATTGGGTTGATTTTTTAACCCATTAATCATCCTGCTTAGACCTGAATACAGGCCAGAACTTAAAGTCTTATAGCATAACAGAGTTTTTCTCTACAACAAAAATAAATGAACCTATGTCATACAAACTCGGTCCGAAATAGACATGCTTCGTATTTTAAGAAAAAAATTCTTATATTTAGAAGATTTTACTTCCGTACTCATATCCAAATATGTCAGACACGAGTACTTCTAAGGGAAATGAAGAGTTCGGAAAGATAGAAACCTGAGCAATGTATGATAATCATCATGTCTTGCAGGTAGCTTGTTCTCCGATATAAGTGTCTGACGCAAGGCATCAACCGACTGCAACTCCTCCGGACTTCGCTCATCATCAATTTCAATAGACATTACTTTACTGCTCCTCCTACCTCTCTTTGACATTGAATTTCGGAGTTTATTGGATGCACTCCTTGTCGTCGTCTTAGCGGACCCGTCCATATCTGATACAGTGAACAAATTATTAACATTGAAATGCATATATACCAAAAACACGAAACCAGTCCAAGCATTCTCATCTTCTAATATTTTTGGTTTCTGATCGGCCATCAATTACTGGGAAAAAACAACAACCAAATAATATATCACCGGAATACAGTTATGGCATAAAAAATGATCAAGCAAATCAACATTCAACATAAGCATTCTCCACCAATGACAACAATCTATTCAAAGGGTTATGACCCGGTTCCAGTACGTTTCACTCGCATACACTTTCATTTAAGATATCTTCCTTTTTGAGCAAACACTGATTCCTTAAGGATCTGTCATTCCAAAATGCACCTCTATTTTATGATATCGTCCTTTTTAAGCACCACTGATCCCTTAAGGATCTGTCATTCCAAAATGCACCTCCCTTTATTCAAACTAAGAACTTCTCCGGACCTTTTCGCAACACAAGTAGCTCAATTGGTACTTGCCTTGAGAAAAGATCTCCCTTAAATGAGAAGCTCTTCATTCGAATCAACATAGGCACACTTTCCAGTGACAAATCCTTAGACGTAAGCATACGTGGGAGAGACGTCCCAACCCCATAGGACAACACAGAAATGTCCTAAAATCGATACATTACAAGGAACAAGAAAATGTACAATGAGATTAACCAGCAAAAAATAAAAAGGCTTCTAATTCATGTCCTATTCCCATACCTATAAACACGTTAATAGAAATCTAACCATGCATGTAGATCTAACCAAAAAAAACGTTAAAAGGAGGAAAAAGAAGGTTTAGAATAAGAAAACCTTGGGTCTCAGCCATTATTTGAATCTATTAAGGAATTTTTGCAGACAAAGAAACAGTAAAGGGCAGAAGATTCAAGCAGTCGTCTTATAGTATATCAATCGACCGCTTGGACCCAAATCTCTGCAAATTCGAAACTGAATATTACTAATAAACATTTAAGCAAACATAAAACACAGATAAGAAAACAAAACTAGGACGTACCTCTGCGACGTGGGAAGGAGGATAGTGGGTATATTAATATAACAGAAAGCACAGTAACTCATTTTCCATGGGATTTCTTAGCTTACGTGTTCGAAAATGGCGGAGAGACAAAGAGGCAGAAAACGACATTCCAATTATTAAAGAAGAAAAATGAATCTGTTTCTCTTCTTTATTTGGCAATTCGCCATTGATGAGCTTTGACTAAATATTCAACGCTCGTCTTGACGACAGGTTTGGCCGCTTTGTTTTAACTTTTGAAGCATATTGCAGATTAGAAATTGGAGCGAAATGCAAGGCCTCTCCATTCAAAAAATGTTGGGACTTGGAATTCATCTCAGACCACACGGCAGTTTCCTCTTTTCGCGGCAAATTCATGCAACATTCCTTGGCAATTGGCATTCGTTGGCTTGGAGATGTCCATGGGGCATGGCTTTGTCCAAAACATTTTAGGTTAATTACATTGTCACCACTTAATAATTATAAGAGATTTTAATTTAATTATTATTTTTTAAATTTTATTAATTATAACATTAATTACTTAAATGATGTCAACTAAGTTACTTGTTAATATTTCTTTGGTTACATACTTGTTAATATTTAAAGAAGAGTTAATATAAAAATTAACAAAAATAGTATAACAGTTGACGAAAGAACCCATGTTATGGTTAACATTTGATAAAGGACTTGAAGAGGATTAGGAACACAGGAACTACTAAATCAAATTTTATATTTGAAATTTAGATTATAACATTTTGTATACATCTTATATTGAAAAAAAGGGCCAAATGAGAAATACTTAAACCACTCAAGCAAATCTAATAATTTATATATAATTAAATAAATGTTATATATTTTCAAATTATAGTTAATACTGAAAATAAAAATTAATAATATATTTTATACTAAATTAAATATTTTCTTTAATTGAGAATTCATCTTTATATTTTGTTGAAATTAGATAAATTTTATATATTTTTAACAATGAAGCAAACCTAAAGCTGTCTGCTTTCTATAAATTTTATAGTTAATACTGTCATCTTTATATTATTTTTTAAAATAATATTTGGGTAAATTAGACAGGTGACCACTCAACTATTGTTTCCTTTCATTTTGATCATCGATGTTTCAATTTCGTTAATCTAACCATCTAACTATTTAAATGGTTCAATCAAGTTATTTCCCGTTAACATTAAAGGAAATGATGACATGGCAGATAAAAGTTTTAGTATAATTATACCTTTGATCCTTGTTATTTATATATTCTATCAATTTGGTCCTAATTTTAATAAATTAAAATAAATTTAACCCTCTGGTTGGGACCAACTTGATAGAATATACAAGTATCATGATCCAAACGTGTAATTATACTAAAATTATTAACTGAAACGTTATCTTCTTCATTAAATTTTAACAGCATATAGCTTGGTTGAACCATTTAAATAGTTGGATGGTTTGATTGACTAAATCGAAACATTATTGGTCAAAATAAAAAGGGACAATAGCTGAGTGGTCACCTATATAGTTTACCCTAATACTTTCTACGGATCAAACTTTCTTTAAATTGTAATAATAACTCTTAGTTTTCTATTTTGCTAAATTTCTAATAATTAACCTTAAATTTTAGAAATTAACCCTAAACTCACAATACTAAAGAGGAGGGAAACTCGGCATTTTTTCTTAATTAGGTAAATTATATAAATGGTAACTTATATTTGAGTAAATTTTTCTTTTCTTCACTAATGTTTTCAATGTAACGATTTGATCACTAACATTATTGATTTATAACAAATCGATCACTCGACATTAACAATTATTTTTTATTTCTTAATTAAACCTTTTAAAAATATATTATTTTGCACAAACTAAACGACTTTGATAATAAATGAATTGTTGTTATTTCTTGTACTTATCCAAGATTAATAATATTATATATATATATTCTTTTTATTCTTTTAAATTCATCATGAACTCTAAAAATTAAAACTGTGAAAGAGGGTAATAATTTATATTAATGTCTTGGTTTTACAAACTCATAATATATTTTCGATGAACAATATTTTATAAACTTATAAATCGAAGTCAATAGAACTCTCGACAACACCAAACTATCAACAAAGTCAAAACTATGAATATGCATGGTTTAAATGATGAAAGACAATGAAGAAGGTTCATTTGCATGTGCAACCCAAATTTGGAAATGGCCATAATTTTGCCGATGACCAGTTGCGAAGAAGAAGAAGAAGAAGAAGATGCGGTGAGGAAGCAAAGTTGGTGCTTCGACATGATAGCCTAACGCACTATGTATTTGCAATTAAAAACGGAAAGCCTATGAAAATGGCAAAAATAGAAAACTAGGAGTGAAACCGGAATGAGGGCCCTCGTTTCAATGCTTCATTGTGCTCCTCTTTGTGCGGTGCATACGCCTCGTACTGGTTTTAATGGACCACTCCTCTTTCCGTAATTCATATATTTTTGTTTCGCTTAATATAAAAATAAGTGTATAAATTATACCTCGAAGAACATTTTAATACAAAAAAAAATTCTTCACTAAAAATATATATCTAATGTTTTCTCGATTATTATTTAGACACTAAAACATTATTAAATTTTGAACCGATACATTCCTAACAAATTATTAAATTTTAATACAATCCTCCATTTGATACTGAGCATATGGCTGAATCTGACGGCTCATGGCGCATGCATGCATGCCATTCGCCCAACCAAGAACAAATCCCAACCAAAAGACATGACTGTCGTCATCAGGTCTTCAAATGCCGCACAAACTTTGAATTGTAAACCGAATATAAAAAATAACATTTAAAGGACATATAATTAGTCAACTTTAATCTATTTTCGTGAACTTTTAAAACACTAACTTTTTTCCTAAGAGCATACAAAGTAGAACCTATGACAAATCTAGTGGTTCAAAATTTTAATTTTATTTTTAAAAAAATAATGGGATATAAATTTTTTTATTTTTTTAATTTTTCTTTAATATATTATATTAATTTTACTTTTTCCCCTTAATAAATAGAGCACGACTTTAGTACTCTGGTTTGAAAATACTTTGAATGGATGTCCCATCAGTAACCAATAGCAGCACTACCAAAATCTGAGATAAGCTTTGTTTTGCTTTTTTGTGTTTTTTTCAGCGGGGGCCCTGCCGCATTGAGTTAATGGACTTGTAGCACGAAGGATGGGCGGCACAATTAGTATTATGAAATTTAAATTATTATATATTTTAAATAATTTATTAATAATTTATTTTCATGTCTAAAATTTTAATATTATAAGTTCATTTTCTTTAAATTTTAAAAATTCATCTTTCCTAATATAAAATTATGCATACGCCCATATATATATAACCACGACAAATCATATATATTAAGAAATTATTAAATATTATTGATTAAGTTTTAATATGTTCTATTATAATATATATAAGAAAAAATAGAATTGAATGTGTGTTTAAACGTGTAATATGTTTCAATTTGTACATAAAAATTTAAATAATTGTAAAAACTAATAGAATAAAACACATGATGATTTCATACATACGATGAACTTAAATTAATGTATATATATGAACAATATCTAAAAAAAATATTAACTTCAAAAAAAAATGAAAAAAACAATATGTGTTCACCGATGCTTTTAAATATGATTCAACCTGAAACAAATCAAAAGTCATTCAAATAAATTAATGCTCTCCCACCATCCCGAGAGAGAGAAAAAATTAAGTCCAGTATTTAGTCACAAAATTATCACGTTAGATTTTATTTCGGTTATCTATTTTTTTAGATTTAATATTAAAATAAGTATTTAAATTATATCATTTTTCTCATTTAAATATCTAATTTTTTTTATCAATTTAAGTTAATAACATTTTCAATGCTATCATTTAGGTACCTAAATCGTAACAAACATAAAAAAAATTGTCAATCGCTCAAAATGCAATATTGACACCTTTTATAAATTTATATTTAAAAATTTTAAATTATTATTATTTAAAAATCCAAAATATTTTTAAATTCTCAAAAAAGTCCTCAAATCTTTACTTCTAAAGCTTCTACCCCACACATCGGCCATCCACCACCGCTATCGCCCCATCGGTCGCCTACCCACCCATCATCAACTGTCAGTTGTAGCTTCAAAATCATAAAATTCCTAAACCCAAATCCCAATACATATCCATCCCAATCAATGTGTGAATAATCAGAGTCTGGTCAGCGAGTGAGTGGGTGATCATCGATAATGGTGATAATCGACATGTGAATTGAAGGTCTTGGGATATTTTATGAAGAATAGGAAAAGTTAAGATTTTTTTTAAAAGTTAAGATTTTTTTTAAAAATTTATGATTTTTTTTTAAAAATTAAAGGAAATAAAAAAATTAAATCACGTGTCAAATACTGATTAGTTGACTTTTTTAAATAAAAATTTATCATTTGTTACATCGTAGGAACTTAAATGATAATATTTGTAAAGTTACACACTTAAATTGACAAAAACAAATTAGGCGCTTAAATGAAAAAAGAAGTATAATTTGAACACTTATTTTTATATTAAGCCTTTTTTAAAAAGCATAGTTAAAGTTACATTTTGATTCTGATTTGACCATATGTTGTTAAAAAATAAATAGAAATGTTGACATGAAATTATCTTATAGTGACACATCAATATCATCATCATTTTTTTGACAAGTTACAAAAAAATAATAGTTGGTGATCAAAATGAAACCAATGTGATAGTTGGGTGACTAAATTTGTAAAACAAGCTTTCATCATTAAATTTTGGCTTTAAAAAGGGTGTAAATCAAGAACCAAGAGTAAGCTTTTCCGACATGGATGTAGAGAAAGTGTTTCATATGAGTGGAGGAGTGGGCAAAACCAGTTATGCCCAGAATTCATCTCTCCAGGTTTGGCCTCCCATTTCCTCACCATTTTCTTCCATTTCTTTGTCCTATAATCTTCAATGTTTTTTTCTTTTCTTTTTTCTTTTTTGTACCAGAAAAATGCTTCAGACATGGTGAAACACATAACCTTGGAAACAATGCAACAACTTTACAAAGAAGTTAATCCCAAGAGCCTAAGCATAGCTGATTTAGGCTGTTCTTCGGGACCAAACTCCTTGTCACTCATCAAAGACATTGTTGAAGCTGTCCAAGGAAGTAGCCATAAGATGTTTCGACCCTCACCCGAGTTTCGAGTTTTCCTAAATGATCTTCCCACAAATGACTTCAATTCGGTGTTTAAGTCCTTGCCTGATTTCTATAGGGACCTTAAGAAAGACAAAAATGGAAGGTGTCCGGCTGTTTTCATATCAGGTTGTCCTGGTTCGTTTTATGGAAGGCTGTTCCCCAATAATTGCTTGCACTTCATATATTCTTCTTACAGCTTGCACTGGCTCTCCAAGGTTCGAATCTTTTTCTTTTCCGATCTACAATTTATAAGAGAACGTGAGATCGAATATGCTTGAGTACTCACAATCTAAGTAATAGTAAAGGAACTTAAACCATAACTTGACCTATAATTATCAATATGCATGCCATGCAGGTACCTCCAGGTCTTTACGATGAGCATGGCAAGTCTATCAACAAAGGAGGCGTTTACATATCAGAATTGAGCCCTCCAAGCGTTTCCCAAGCATACTGGAATCAATTCCAGGAGGATTTTTCATTGTTCCTGAAATCACGATCAGAGGAGCTTGTCACAGGTGGAAGAATGGTGCTCATTACATTGGGAAGAATAGGCCAAGGACATGTCGATAGAGGCAACTCTTTCTTTTGGGAAATTCTCTCAAAATGTTTAGCCATATCTGTTTCACAGGTCCCTGATATCTAACATTTCGATCATGTAATTATTCATGCATACATCCAGGGGTCCCTGATATCTAACATTTTAATCATGTAATTATTCATGCATACATCCAGGGGTCCCTGATATCTAACATTTTAATCATGTAATTATTCATGCATACATCCAGGGATGGTCTAGGAGACTGAAGGGAACGGTTTTCTTCTGAAATTTTCAGATTCTTGTATAATTTAGACATCTTTTATTGATAATCTGTTTTCACACCCCAAGAATTTTATAAATTCGACCCCTTAGCATAAAATTCTGCATCTATCCCTGCATGCACTCTTAAGAAATTACCTAAATTTCAATCTACAATGAATTTTGATTCCATTTATTTGTTTCTGCAGGGAGAAATTGAGAAGGAAAAGCTCGATAGTTACGATGTTCATTTCTATGCAGCATCAAGAAATGAAGTAGAAGATGAAGTGAGAAGAGAAGGTTCGTTCAAATTAGAAAGGATGGAAATGTTGGAGATCAAAAAACAAGTCAAAGGTGGGGATAGCTATGGCACAGCAGTGGCCATGACGGTGAGGGCAATCCAAGAATCCATGCTTTGCCACCATTTTGGAGATGGGATAAACTTAGATACCTTGTTTAACAATTATGCGAAAATGGTGGACCAAGAAATGGCCAACCAACAAATTAACCCCATCACTTTTCTTCTAGTTCTTAAGAAATTATGAAATATTATATTCTTATATATATCGAGCTTGAATCAAAGCCCTTCATTTTTGTTGTATTTCCCAAGTAGAAATGCACCAAGTTTGGCCTCTCCCACCAAATGGGGGCCTAGGATCCCTTTGTTCACTTGAAATGTTGGCATAGGGCCTTGCAAAACTGCATATAAGACGATATAGCCGAAGTACAATTTCTTGAACCCCAACACTAGTCAAAACTGATTCAAACATTTTTCATAAACTACTCTTAAAAATTATACAAAAAAAAAAAAAGAAGAAGAAAACTGTACCAAATGAGGGACGATGTTACAGTGCTCGAATTTGCCCTCCATAGCCATAATATTTCAAAAGCCCTTCATCTTGCCGCCAATTCTCTTTAACTTTCACTCCAATCTATATATAGAATTTGTTGTTTCAGATTAATATTGCAGGCTAGTACTAACCATGCTTGATAAAATCAATGGGATCAATGAATTTCCTTAATGCCGGCATTTTAGTTACAATGACAGTGAAAATGCTGTTAATGACCGTAAAGGGGAAAACAAATTCGGAAAATGGTTTTTAGACCTTCAAAGCAGAGATAATCCTTGCATTAACAATTGACACTCTGGGAATCAAACGCAGGAGAAATGCAATCTCAGTTCGACTAGCCAATGACTGAGATTTGGGACTATGGATTTAAAAATAAGGTTAACATCCCTTATTGGGGTGCCATTTTTCAAAGGACAGCTGTGAGAACAGTCTTTATATCTCCAAAGAAACAATTCTTAGCAGAAAAAGTAAACCGTGCACATTGCACCATTTATAATTTAAGAGAAGCATTTTGATTTAAGTTCGCACCTCGAGGAAGACTTTCTTCTGTAGGAAATATTCTATGTCAAGTGGAGCAGTTGTTGCAAGTATTTTCAGAGCTTTCCCTCAGTTGAATGGTAAAGGAAACAAAGCATCAAATGCGAGGCTTAGAATGTAAGCATGCACATGCAAGTGTACATTATTTAGATGCCATATTTTAAATTAGTTGATTTGAAAATATCAAACACTGGTCAAATGTTACTCTTTATTCAAACATATTCAACAAGCTCAAAGGACATTGAAATGAATCAAGCAAATTGCAAATTGTCTGAAAAACACAGGATAATTCTTACTTTTCCAATGAGGATGATTTTCTGGGAGTCTTTCTCAACAACAATTTCTACTTGTATGAAATCTTTTGCATTTGGCCTTGTTTTGTAGTTCACCACATTTACCTGGAAAAATATGAAGATGAAATCCAGTTTGGTTGGCTACAGATGATGATCTTTCTAGCAACCTTGATAACTATAGTCCATACCTGACATGCATAAGGAACCTCGTTGCGAGACTGCAGAAATATCTTCTCTCTGATAATTTCAGCAACAAAGAACCGTACTGGGTGTTCACTTACAATGTCCTGGAAATGCATAAACAACAAGAACTGTTCATATGAAAGAAGCTGTTCATTTTTCAAGCCCCACCAAAAGTTGGGCCAAAATTTTCTTTTGGAGGGAGGCAACAATTAGCATGAAGCCGAATAAAATCCTAGGTTACTGACATAAGTGCACCTTTGAAATCATATCATGTCCCTAATTTATATGAGTTAGAACTTCAACCGAATGCGCTTTCAAAATTATGCTCACAAAATGTTTTCTCAACTAGTCCAGAACATCAGCAATCTTTTTTATTGCTTAACAGGGTATCAAGGATACAACACAACTGTAATCTAGCATCACTTGAATCTGGGTACATTTGTAGTAAACTAAGTTCAGGTGAATCAGGTAGTGGAGTTGCCTCAGGAGTAGCATACAGTGCAGGTGAAATTTGGGGGCGATTAACCTTCCATTCTGTAGCTGATGTACTACTGTTCCTCCTCCGAAGCTTTGAGTTAGGAAAGGAGGTGGTTTTGAATAAAAGCCCGACCTATCAACAGATTTAGAATCTCTTGATTCTAGCAACCTATCCAAATCAGCTACAGTAATAAATGTTGGCATGGCCCTGCATCATCAAACGAACAAAAACATAAGTTACTAAGCCGTATGTATCATTTTCCTAGGAGAACCTAGAGGAAGGTGAAGCACAAAAATCTCATTGTTGCTACCATGGATTTAAATAGTGTTTGCGGTCGTGTTTTCGATCGGGTCGCGTTTATTGCGATTGCGGGTATAATAGATGTTATCGCGGTCACTGTGGGTGTCGCGGTCGTGATTTTTTTTTAAATTTCACACAACTTATTCTAAAACATTATAATAATAATAATTATTATTAAAAACATTTTAACAGATGCTGGATCTCTATGGATTGCCTGGATTAAGGCATACTGTCTTAAGGTTGAGGATTACTGGAACATTGACAGTAGACCTCACTTAAGCTGGATACTCAGGAAACTAATTAAGTTGCGTGAGGAGGCAAGAGGGTTATTTGCTGCTTCTGTCTGTTGGTCACAAGTAAATGGGAGCTGGATTTGGGATAAGATTCGGGAAAAGAGAAGCAAAGTGGCCTGGCACCGTATCATCTGGTTCCCTGTCCATATTCCCAAGTTCTCGTTGATCACGTGGATGGCAATTCTTGATAGGTTGCCTGCTAAGGAGAGGCTGAGCAGATTTGGCATGGTGACTGATGCTAATTGTGTCTTTTGTGGTGTTGAGCAAGAATCCAAAACGCATATTTTCTTGGACTGCTCTTTCTCGAAGGAGGTCTGGAACACTATTTTGCAGCTGTGGGCTGCAAAAGCGTTGGCTGAACTGGGATGATTTGCTCGGTTGGTTGGTAAGGAATTTAAAAGGTAAATCCCTACTCGTTCAGATCCTTAAACTAGCTTGGACTCGTTTCATTTACTATATATGGGAGGAGCGTAATCGCAGAATTTTTAGAAGTGTGATGCGTTCGGCTGATTCTATTGTCAATATTATTAAAGAGGCTGTTAGAATTAAAATGTATAGATATAGTATGAATAGGCAGGATAATGTGAATAGGCAGTTGTACATTGATTGGGGCCTGATATAACTGTTCTTACGTTTTCTGTAGCAGTTTGCTGCTTCTTTGGATGAATATAAATTGATTATCCAAAAAAAATTATAATTATAAAGTGTCATTTTTTTAATGATTTTTAGAATGCTTTTGACAAGCCATCTGCAATAAATAATACCATAATGTAGAAAATATTAAAATAATATTTTTCATTTCCAATAATGGATTGCAACTCAAACTACACAAGTAAAACATTGAACCTTTCTTGGAGTTCATATTACAATTGTGAGTATAAAACAATTAGAAATTTACAATCTTTTCCCCTAAATTTTTCCTCAAGGTATGTCCTGCAACTTTTGCTGAATATAGATACTTCATACACACATCACACATGCATACACACACACACGTATATATATGTATGCATGATAGCATGCATGTAAGCAGAAGATACATGTTATACACAAACTTGGTCTTTGTTGAACTTTGAGAAACTTTTTCAACGGTTTAACATGGTGGCAAACCATTGGGTGGAGGCAGAATTGATTGATCAGCTCCCTTGCCATCTTCAACCACAAATGCCATTTTCAATCCCCAGCCTGTATGGAGCTCCAAATGACAATGCATAAACCAAACACCTAAAACGGGAAAATTCAACGAAATTAAGATTTATGTTACTCGATTCCAAGTTTGTTCCTATATCAGACATGAATAATTTAAAGAATTACCTGGATTGTCTGCTCTAAACCGAATAGCGGTCCAACCCCCGGTCGGAACACCGACGGTGTTCCTTTCAACAGGATCAACCAAGTTGTACTTAGCTGGATCTTTAACAGGGTCGAAGTTTCCAATACCGGTTCCAACGACGAAGAAGTTGTAGCCATGGAGATGGAATGGATGTGACTCAACTGTAAGGAGATTAGTGTCTTGCAGCACTAGCTCAACTGTAGAATTGAAGGCAATCTTGCTAAGCCTTGTCCCATGTGCAGTGCCAAGATTAGCTGTCAAAGGCGCACCAGTGTAGTTAAATGGCTTAAGAGGTTTATCAGGGAAATCGGTTCTAAAAACTCCACTGGTGTTGAAGTAATGAGCTTGGAGAAGTCCGATTTTAGGCATCACAAATGAAATATTGTTCAACGAGGCTAAGATTCTCGTTCCGTTAACGCATGTTGGGCAAGGATCTTTTCCAAGACCGACCGTGTAGAACAGTTTTCGGTCGACTTTAAGGGGCACATTTGCGGGAAAATTTGCAGAGTTCAAACTCTTCAGGTTTTTGTTGTAACTCAAAGCGAAATCTGTGTCATTGGGAGCTGGTAATTGAGGAAGTGTAGGAAGAACGGTGTTGGGGATTCCTTTGTATTGGAATATCCCTGTAGCTGTTTTGTTGTCTACAGGAAGTGGAGCGTCCATGAAAGGCCTAGCAGCCATGAAATATCTGCCTGGGGATCGGTCGGCTTGAACTAGAACGTTTGTGGTTTGCCCCGGTGCAATCAGTATCGCTTGAGTGACAAACGGCTTTGTATAAACCGCATCGACCTCAACTACTGTCATGTTATGACCTGCTATCGCAAAGAAAAGCTCGTCATTGAGGGCAGCGTTGACGATTCTTAGCAGGTACGTTTTCCCGGACTCAACTTCCATCGCAAATGTATCTGAAAAACATAAACATTCAGGATTGAACACTGAGCATTGCATGTGAAAACATGTTTTTCGACAAAAGTTTCTTCGAGTTTCGGCTTACGTTTCTCGGAACATGGAAAAAGAGGTCCGGATTTCCCATTGATAGTGTGTGCATCCGACATATTTGGTGGCAATCCCATCTTAGTTCCTTGATTGACAATCTCTTCAACATCTGTGTGCCACCATTCCCCTGCATCATGAGCACAGTTTTCACCATCATATCATCATCACAACAAGGAACTTCTAAAACCAATTGAAAAACATCGACTTTAGAACCGACCTAATACAACAATCTGTTCCATATTCGGCTTTGTGAACGGAAATGGCGTTCCTGGTTTCGGCATGATGACAATGGCTCCATACACGGTAGCCCTTAGCCAAAGAATATGCGCATGCCACCATAAAGTTCCTCTTTGTCCTGTTACATTGAAGTCATAACCGTAGCTATTCCCGGTCTGAATCGGACACTGCGTTATGTAAGCCGGTCCATCCGCCCAACCATTTCGATATTGCTTCAATCCATGCCTAAACAAATCATCAAACAACGTTATAAGAAATCTTTGTTTAAATTTTTTTCTGCATATAAATTATTAAAATCCCACCAGTGAATCGACATGTTATATTTTGCATGGTTCGTAACATTGACAATAACTCTATCTCCCTCTATAGCATATATTGTAGGCCCTGGAAACCTCCCGTTTACCGTCACAATCGGCTTTGAATGGCACAGTCTGCTAACATTCTTCACTCGAATCTGTTAAAAAAAACACATCATTTCCGAGTCGAAATCACGAGAATTCAAACGAACGAAACATTCATTTCTGAGTTAACTCACGTCAAACTGGTACATCTTCACAGCAGCTTCTGCAGGCAAAGTAATGAATGCAATGAAACCAACGAGAAAAAGGGTCGTTTTGGGAACGGAATTGCCACCGATCGCCATTCGAGCCGAGCTAAAACTATGAAAATGTCAATGCTTGTATGGATGTGAGGCATGAAGGTTGAAACAAACGAGTTATTTATATAAGCTTTAAAAAGGGGTGAACTATGGCAATTTGTTAAGAACAAGAGAATGAAGCTGATTAGGTAAAAGAAATGCAAAGGAGTCTTTGATATGTCAAAGCTTGTAAGCAAAATACTGAAAGAGACTGAGTTGCCATTGATAGTCGTAGAGGTGGAGATTGTTATACCAAGAAGCAAAACATTGAAAGAAACTACCCGTATCCGATTTGATCTTAAAATAATTTAAAGCTTTGAGATTGAAAGGTACGTATCAACCTAATCCTACATACAACACCAAGCTTTACCGTGAAGGAAAATAAACTTTTTTAACCTCATATTGCATGGTTATTTTTAACCTCATGTATTTTAAGGGTTTTACCCTCTTTTTATTGAAACTTGAAGTACCTAAGTGAAAATCGGGTATAGTTAAGGGGCTAGTTTGGCAATTAATCCAATAGAAAATGACTTTTTACCATGGTATAACGATTAACTAATTTCAGAAAGGCTTACTTCAAAGCATTTTGTAGCAATGCTTTGTAAGGCTCAGTTTGCTTATTTAAGGGCACATACGCTTTGCAGGGAAACTTTGTATTGCTTGTCACCGAACCATTTTCAAAATAGAAACAATATTTAAATGGAGGAATATCAACCTTAAAGTAAAGAAAACAAAGTATGCAATAGAACTATATAATTTCCTTACTCCATAATCGAGTTAATTACACCACACGTCCTCGAACTCTGGCCCTAATTCTAAATTTATCTTTAAATTTTGAATGTTTCGCTTTCATCCTCAAACTATGACTCATGTCCCTGAATTTTTGAATATTCCAATTTCATATCTAACCGTCAATATATACTAATCAGGTATCATGTTAATAAAGCCTTTAAAAAATCGTTAACTGCCATGTACACACTAATGTGTATTATGTAATCATATCATATGTCATATGTCATAATGAAAATAAATGGTGTAACACATCTCCGAACCATTATTTAGAATAAAGTTGAAAGATCCTTTGGTTTTATTTTTGTCCTCTCAATTTATTTATAATTATTTCTACGTTTCAAAGATAAATTGTTATTTTATTTAAACGTAATATTGGTTATCATTTATGAAACACCCTATTATTACATAATAAGCATAAGAGTTTACGTAGAAATTAATAAAATTGTAATGATTTTATTAACCGAGGATGCGATTAGAATATAAAGATAATCTGATGATGAAATAAAAATGTCCAAAAATTTAAAAAACAATTTATAATGAGTCATAGTTTGACATAAAATTAAAATATTTAAAATTTTAAAAATAAATTTAAAATAATTTTTAGGACTAATGATACAATTAATTTGAATCATAAGCGTAAATGACTATTTGCCCACAAAGGAACATCAAACAACTTTTGTAGGTGACGTGAAGTCCCAAAGAAAAAAGAAAGATTGAAAACGCCCAAAGTATTTATTAACACATATTCCAACCCAATGAGCGCAATAGGCCCAAAAGGCCATCTCAATTAAAAGATTTTCATTATCCCATTAAAGAGTTCGTTTGTTTCCCTAAATATAGATTTTTAAATGTGAATTCTGATAAATAAATTATAATTTCTAAAATCAATTCTAATTTTTTATTTTTAAATGATATTTCATAAATTATTTTTCGTTATTTGGAGATTTTTTTAAATTATTCATTATAATACCAAAGATAATAAATAATATTATTTATTATAACAAAATAATATTATTATCTAAAATCATTAAAAAATTAAAATAATATTATGATAAAGCTATTCTTAAATTATTCATACAGGCATAGGTTAGAGGTATTTATACCTTTAAAATTTGGCTTAATACAAAATAAGTGTCTAAATTATACCTTAAATTGACTTTTGATGCTTAAAGAAATTTTCGTTAAAAATATGTCTAATTTTTCTCAATTATATTTTTAGGTGTATATCGTTATATTTTTTAATTTTTTAATTCTTAATAATAAAATTATTATTTAAAAAACAAATTTTCAAAAAATATCAAACTCCAACCCTACATTGTCCCTCCCCTCCCATCTCCCAGGTGAAGTGTTACCATCGACTGAGTTATATTTGGTAAGGCGAGGAACTCAATAGTGACATTCATGTAATGTACGGACAATTATAGTTGTCAAAATTGTCGAAAAACAACGAAGGAAAACCTATGTGACATTTCGTGACACTTTTCACGACGATCAGTATAATTTCACGGTAGATGGAAGATTGGGTTTTGATCGCGGCAGCGAAACGATTCTCATGGTGTCAACACTAACGACCATGGATCGATGGTTACCAATCGACGGTGAAAGAAATTTATTTTAGGAGGTTTTTTGAGTTTTTTTTAATAGAAAGAGAGTAAAATTAACCTAGACTACTCGGGTTGTTTCCTGGATGCAGTAACCTCCTGGTTATAAGCCACAGCAATCTCCATTGATGGTTGCTGGAAGATTCGGACACCAAAACCTGTGAAAGAGTCATCTTAGTCATTCCATAGCAATCTCCATTGATGGTTACCCCCTAATTCCTTTTTTTAGGTTTAAATGTGTAACACGTGTCCGATAACGGTTAAATTTAATAATTATTACAGTTCATACACTTGAAAGTGTAACGTTAAAAATGTTAGATATTTATTTTTTACAAAATATTTTTCAGATATTAAAAGTAAATTTGAGATATAATTGAAGTATTTATTTTTGTATTAAGTCATAAAATTTTGGTATAATGAGATTAAATAAAGCTTAACAATAGGGCATGAAAATCAAGGGAATGGGGTGCCTGTAACCTTATCGGGGGGAAAGAAAGCCAACCCGATTTTACACACAAAATGAGGATATTAGAGGTTGAACCTTGACTTGTCCTCCTCCCTACGGCCCTACCATTAATATTTATTTATTTATTATTATGAGAATCCATGGGATTCACATGCAGCTCACTTGGCCGAGCACCTAGGCGTGGGTAGATGATCATTTCCGTCTTCTTTATTAGGTCGTCATTCAAACGTGCACGAATCTAGTGGATTTGATTCTTCAAAAAATATATATAATGGATTTGAAAATGTTCCTCCTCATCAATTGAATGTCTCTTTCGAATATGAAATTGGTTTTTATTCATAATTCATCATATCACCATATTTCAAATGACAATTTCTTGATGGACCGCTGAATCGAGTTATAAAACAACGTGGGGGGACATCTTTTTAACACCCTCTAATTGTTGTAATCAATCAATTCGGTCCCCACTACTGACAGGCCTCGTGGACGTAATCTTAGTACTGTTATTGCCATTCAATTATTTGTATTTCTAGATAGTGGTACACTTAAGACTTTACCAACCTTCTACTTTTAGTTTATAAAATAAATAGGTGTTTTGACCCAAAAAAATCACCTTCTTTAAAAAAATTCACCCTATTAGACACCTATTTCTAATTATTTTTCGATTTAACATATTTTTCAGGAGAGAGAAAGAGGCGTTGTGCACGAAATGCGCCTTTGCAATCTGTCTTAGCAGCTTTGACACCAAACCAGCTTGTGAATGATTGCCACCGGTTTGAAATCTGTATCATTGATGTTGCCATGGATTAGTATCATTGTTAAGTCGTAACCTTTTTTTTAGCCGCTTTATCACAAACCTGCAAACCGGGCTGTAAAACAGTTGGCATGTAGGTAAGTGATGTACAGCTTTCTCCTCTCGAATGCTTCTTGTGTTCCTGTACCGTAGTTTGTATTCAGATGGAAGCTTTTCTTGCACGGGACTTTGCTGTCTGTTCTTAGCTTTTCAGTGCATCATGCAAACTGTCTTGTATGTTCTTTGCTCATCATAACTAGAATCAAAACTAAATCAACAGCAATTTGTCTATATATTTTAGATTGTTTTTTCTTCCCCTCCAAAGCATGCTCTCTTAGAATAATCTCAAAAAAAAGGACTGCCTAAATCATAGGAATTAGTGTTCGAACCGGACATAATCATTTGCTAATTACAGTTAGTTTACAGTATGAAGATGATATAGCCAAATCCCAAAAGCAAATCACCCCCTGGCAAATTTTTGTTAACCATAACATTGTCAGAGCAGGAAAATCCTAGTTTCATTTCTTCTTTTTAGGTGCACTGGTTCTTGAGAACTTTGGTAATTTCACTCCAAACAATGTATTACAGGACATCTTGTCTTTCGAATAAACGTTAGCATCTTCGGATTCGATGTTGTTGGAGTTAGAGCATTCTTCGGATTTGATGTTGTTGGAGTTAGAGCATTCTTCGGATTCGATGTTGTTGGAGTTAGAGCATTCATGTTCATCATCATCGCCATTATCATGTTTGGTATCCCTAAGTTGCCGAAGCAATTCCATTGCACTCGCCTTTCCTTTTTCACTTCCATTAGCAGATATGAAAAAAAGGAGAGGAAATATACTACACTCATCCATCACTAAGTGACAGTATCCGATACTTTCCGAGCACAATGTAAGGAGAATAGCCAGTGCATGCTCTTGATTCTCGTGATCGCCGGCCTCGAGTAACGTAGCGATAGAAGCAATGCAGCCAGATGTTTGAGTGATCCAAGTCCTAGCTTCTTGGATACTGCACAAGTTTCTCAACAGCACTATGCAGTGCCTTGCGAGTGTTGTGTCTTGTAAGTATGGAACAAGCTTCGGGATGCACTCCAAAAACACCAGTTCGGAACAAATATCGGTGCTTGAGGACAGATTACGCAAAATTTCGAGGATTTGTTCCTGGAAAACTTTGATGTTCAATTCGAGCATGTTTAACATGGAAACAAGAGCACCCGATGCATATATCTTAGATCCACAACTGCTGTGTTCAGACAATACTAACATAATGTCAAGAACCTCTCGAGTTACTTCAGAGCCAATAAACGATGACAGCATACAGTATGCATCTTCACTTAAGTATCGTGTGCCATTCCTGCAAGAAGCTAAGAAAACAGTGAAAAGAGACACCAACAACCCATCAATCGGTCAAAAATTTAAAGGACATGTCACGTGAAGAAACTAGCAACAGATGCACATGGAATGAAAATTACCTGTTTTTGCTCAGAAGTGTTGATAACAACTGAAATCCAGCTCTCCGGGCTCTTATATCATGCAAATCATCAGCACTGCTCAAAAATCTAATTAGGGGTTCAATGAAATTTTTAGACGACAAATGAAGACAGTCTAGATCAACACATTTCAAATGGTTTTTAATGTCTTCAATCATCTTGGCAAGGCCAGAAAGACACTCCAACTCGGTCTCGGCTGTTTTTCTGAGAGATCGATATCGCCTAAGATCATCACTGGTCTTCTCAGGCATCAAACTAGAGCCATCTTCAGTCCTGTTCCGAGATCCATCCGAAGTATAACTAGTATCTAAAGATCCAAGTGATTTGTTGCTGATGTCTAATAGAAAGCGCAGATCATTCATAGAACTGCCAAAAGTAGATATGGAAGTGGAAGAATTTTCCAATGAAGGAAGGACGTCCGGTTGCATGCTTGTGTCCTGCATGGTGATTCCATATTTCCTACACCATTCTGTGACCAGAACCTTCAAGGAAGCATTTGGGGTCAATGAAAGATGGTCCAGTTTCATCTCGGTCTTGGGGCACGTTTCGTTACCATCATCAAACCATTTCTGGATCCAAGTCCTTTCAAATGTTTGTCCAGAAGCAATGACAACAGGATCATACATCAATCTTGAAGATAAGGGGCACTTGAATTCCTCGGGAGGTATTGTAGCTCGATTTGACGTTTCTGCTCTAGCATCATACTGCTTATACTCCGAATGAGATTTGACATCAGCTGAGCGAGTATGCGCTGCAAAGGCTCCTTCATTCCGATCTCTAGTGTTGTCTGTTTGCACTCCGATAATCAAGTTAGGATACTTACTTAACATATATAGAAGATATTTCAAGATCTTCTTCTTTTGTTGATCACCGTCACTGATTTTTTCAAGCAACTTCTTTATAGATTCTTTCTCTATCGAGATGGCTTTCGGAGAAGTGATATGAAGTCTTGATGCTGCAGTTTGAAGAGCTTTCATTTCAGCATATTCGATTGAATCCGGAGCCGCAGCTCTTCGCTGGAGTAATTCACGTACAACTTTCCCGGCCTCTTCTTCAAATTTATCTGGGAAAAAATTTGCAGCTCGGAGATCACCAACAATTTGAGAGATCTGCAATAACATTTCGATACCAGCTTGAAGAAAGGACAGGACATCTTGCTAAATGAAAATACAAGAAATTCTTGGTAAAAAAAAGAAGGGTAAATAGAAGATTAATAAATGTAATTTGACAAACCTCATCAGCCAACTTAACCGGAACCATACTCTGAATATGGCATAAACATTGTTCCAACAAATTCTTCGTTTTTCGACATCTTGAGACTATGGCATCGGTTCTTATTGCCTGAAAGTTATTGTAGAGAAATCAACCAAAGGGTATATTTTACACTCACAAAACTGTATAATTAATTACTAAAACATACCAGATAGAGTTTGCTGGATTCACTGCAGTATTGAAGAAGTAACTTTGCTCTGTCGATTGCACCGTTCAGTGAGCACAGTGCCTTTATTCCTGAGGAACATCTCGGTCGAGCAGCTTCGATATCCGGAAATATCTTTGTAATTCTATCAACAAACTTGCGAAGTTCTGTGCACATCATGCAATGCACCTACAATCATCAATGCAATATGAGGGCATGTAATTTGAACTTCGACCAACAAATACAGGAAGATTTTTCATATTTTCTAGAGCCTTTTAGGTTAGCTCATCCATCAAATGTCATTTTAATCTATAACAGTCAAACTGGATACTCATAGTGTGACCGACTTGTTCGAATGCATGCGTGCATACATGCACACATACATACATACGCCGCTGGTGGTCAAATAGAATCACACTAGGGAATTGTACCTTAAAGGAAGTCGGATATGACGGGGTCTCGACTACTTCCATTATTTCTGCAGATTCAGTCCCCAAACAAAAGATTGCTTCCTGATTACAGAAACATAAAATACGTATTTATCTAGAAACAGATTAGAATCTGCTAAACAGCAATTAGCAGATTGAAACTTAATACAATGATATAATTATCCATATTGTTTGTGCCAACATTTCCAAGGGTAGCTTTACCGTGAAACTTCAGCCAAAGAAGAATGATATATATATATATATATATATATATATATATATATATATATATATATATATCAACCAGGAGAGAAGGGGAAGAGAAAGCTCACCTACTACAATGATAAAAGAGAAGTTTCTTCTTCTTATATATATATATATATATATCAACCAGTAGGAAGGGGAAGAGAAAGCTCACCTACAACAATGATAAAAGAGAAGTTTCTTCTTCTTCTTCTTCTTCTTTTCAGTATGTGTATTATTGAAGCTATTTAACAAACACCAGATAGACAGAACTTGAACAACAATAGGCAAAATAAACACAAGCAAATACCTATTTATCTAGAAAAGTAAGTGCTTCAGAGAAGCTTAAAAACAATGGCTTCCACTTTCACAAGTCAGAGAAAAAACAACTTTAAAAGGTAATATAAACTGAATTTTTCTTCAACTCTAGGTAGAATTCAAGGGATCGAAAGTAGTTGTCTTGCATCTCTACCATAGATGAGCAAGGTGACAAGGAAACAACAGTCCAGAAAGAAAAAGGCTTTAAAGATGACCAAGCCGACTGCATGATCTTCTTGCTCAACAACAAAAGAAAACCCACTTTCTTTCCCTATCTGACAACCCCAACACTGAAAAAAAAACCATGTCCACGACCTTAGATGAATATAGTAGTACAAACAGAAGTTTGAAAAAAGTTAAGACAAATCCAGAAATGGAAACTCCTCCAATAAACAACGATATGGCTGCCAATTAGAACTGTGGAATTTAGAACCCTTGGACAACCAAGAAAATCTAAAACCAAAGATGAAAAATAGGAAACCTTTACATCAGGAAAATAAAACCTGCCAATAAAAAAACTATTATCTTTTTCATTTCATTTTCATTTTCATTTTACTGATTATCAAAGTATCTGCAAAGAAGGAATAGTGAACGACAAATAAAGGAAGACATATCTTATTTTCGACTTTCGACTTTCGACTTTCGACGTAATTGGTCTAAAAATAAATACATAAAAAAATCAGTCGACGGGCTATAACATCCTATCAAATCTTACGGCGTAGCTAGCAAGTATAGGTTCCTCTTGTTTGGTTCCAATTTCTCTCTTTTTGCATTACAAGCATTAAATTGAATAAATTAGGTGTAATATAAAAATAAATGTCTAAATTATATTTAAAATTAATTTTTGATGTCTATTTTTTGTAAAAAATAGATGTTCAATATTTTATCCGTTACACTTTTAGTTGTGTATCGTTAAAAAAATGTTAAATGACATGTCTCACGTTTATATATATATATTTTAAAATAAAATATTATTTAAAAATAGATTTTTTAAAAAAGCGATACGTGAAACGTGTTGCTTAAAGGTTTTCTAATGGTAGACACCTAAAAATGTAATAGAGAAAACATTATGCGCCTATTTTTAACAAAAAATTCTTTAAACACCAAAAATCAATTTTGAATATAATTTAAGTACTTATTTTTATATTAACCAAAAAACTATAATAATCTATTTTTCGTTGTTGTAACCATCTAAAAAATTTATAATATGAACTTTGATTTCAATATTAAAAGTTAATAAAAATATGAATTTACAATACCAAAAGTTCTCAATCTTTAAAGTAAGGTTAAATACCAAAATAAGAGCTCAAACTATATTATGATTGGTGCCTAAACTAATTTTCATTTTATTCAGGTGTCTAATGTTATAAACGTTACACATTTAGGTGCTCAGGCCGTCAACAACGTTAATTTCTAGTTAAGTGACATGTGTCATAATCTGGCGATTTTAAAATTTATTTTTTTTAAAATTAAAAATATTATAATATTTATATAAAAAAAACTAACTGTCCTTATATTATAAAATAGCCCCAAAATCCCAAATCCGAACCTTAATTCGTTATCGTCATCTGTCCGGCCACGACCACCACCATTGATGTAGTCTCTATCATCCTCCTACTCAAATGTCATCATATTTTCCTTCGATTTGCAGTTGAAATTGCATGGGATTACGATTTTAATCCTAGGGTTCAAGTGATTTAAAACGTTGATTCGTTATCAATTGATCGTTGATTGGTCACGATTTCATGAGGCTTTTGGTCGACGGGGGAAGATGAGGTCGGGTGGAGTATTGTCAATGGCAAAAGGCGACGGTCGGCGTGGGTTTAGGGTTGAAATGAAAGTTTTTAAAGTTTTGGGTTTATTTCAAATTTCGTGTTTTCTATTTTTTAAAATATATATATATATAATTTTAATTTTTTAATTTTAAATAAATTTTTTAATTTTAAATAAATTTTTTAAAATTACCTGACATATTTCATCTAACGGGAAAATTAACACCATTACCGTAGACACCTAAATGGGTAACGTTTGTAACGTTAGATACCTGGATGAGATGAAAATTAGTTTAGACATCTATTTAAAAAAACGGTATAGTTTAAACACTTATTTTGATATTAAGCCTTAAAGTAAATATAAACTATGTTTTGAATTTTATAAATAAATAGAAACATATATTTGAAAATGTGAAATTGTTTTCAATCTTAAAAAGTAAATAAAATTAAAAGTTTTTTGAAATGCGGTCCAACACAAAACAATGAATACAGTATATCCCTGTCACCGCTGCAAATCATAATCTTATTACAAAATATAATCAAATTTTATTTAACTTAAAATGAGACTTACTATATTATTAGATCTTTTTCATATAAATAATAATAATTTTTTTTATAATTTTTTTAAAAATTTTATAAGTAAAATATGAAATTAAATATTTAAAATTATTAATAAGTATAAAAATTAAAGATAAAAAATAATTTTTATTGGATGAAAACGCTGAAAAAGCGACTTCGAGTCTTTGTCCCATATGTGGATAATATTTTTTATCATGATTGAACACTTAAACACAAAATTATAATAAAATCAAAGTTACCAATAGCTGGCATCAACATGCAACGTCATTGCCAATTGACAAATCATTTTGAGCACTATTTTTTTACTTACATGAGACGACAACTTTATCAAAATCGTCATAATTTTTTTTATAATTATCATAAAATTAAATTCCTATATAATTTTTTTTTCAGATGGACATTTCTGTTTTTTTTTTTTAATTGCAGGGGGGGGGGGGGCCTGGAAGTGAGACAGGGAAAAAGACTTTTCTCCCGTCAACTCTCGATTGGCGTCGTATCTGAAACTTTTATTTTTGTCTACTTTAATTAATAGAGAAAGATGTTGCTTTCGATGGCCAATATATGTTACTTGAGAACAATCAGAACATGCTATTATTTCTTAGTCTGATTCTTGGTGCAAGGCTAACGGTGAAAACGTGCCACCAATTCACTATAAAATCCAGCAGTTCTGAACAAGCCTAACTAAGTGTTCGAGGATGCATAAATAATTTAATTAGACATATCAAACAGTTGGGGTAGATGTATGTTGGTCCTAATCAACACAAGAATTAAGCAAGCAAACCAAGTCGTAGTCAAAAAGTAAATGGGCAGAATTTCGCGGGCATTGCTAGCGTTATAAAGGCCTAAAGATAGCAAGATGCTCCCATTTCGTCGCGATTCACTTCAGTTGCTGTGCTTTGCTTTCAGTCTTTTTCAGTCGGTGTGAACGGTTAGAAATCAGTCTCTACCAACGATCAGCAAAACCCCAAAAACAAGTGTACTTTGACACGGAAAAATAAATACTAACCGCTCAATAGATTCACGAATCACGTCGGGATAATGCTTGACATGCAAGTTGGAAATCGCTACTAACCCTATACGCACGGCAGAGTTTTAATGCATTTGGAGGTTTCAGAGGATGATATCTTCCTTCTTATATCCGTATATACACAGAAGCCTACATTTATACTTTTCAAAGAGCCAATATCTAATCACTATGGGAAGGACTTCTTTGCATTACCCATAATTTTCATAAAAGAGAATATTGAGCCCGTCATTGGTCATAAGAGAGAAATCCCTCGGGATCTTTGGCGCCGTTCTGTCATGATTGTGTCCCTAGTAAGTGGTCGCTGTACCTCTCCTTATCTTCTCCTTTTTTGGGCTATGGTTCGTAGCCGTGCACACCACACATTGCCCTTTCTAAGTTCTTTCTTGCCAACCCATCGACCCTTTGGCCTCCCTTCTCAGCCTAATCAAACATGAAATAGTTTTTTTTGGCCCAATACCCCATATGGGTAAAATATTTAAGGTATTGGGCCTACCCAAACATTATTTAGCAAAAATATTTAGGGTTTTTTTATGTTTGTCTAATGAGAGAGATTGAAGAAAGCTTCAAAGTTAAAGGGAAAGAGAAACTTATCATTGGTTGTGCATTGGGTGTTTTTAGCAGTTTATTATCAAAGGTAACTCACTCTTGACTCAACTATACCATATGTAAGTCATTTAGATGAAATGTAGTAGGTTGCATAAGCTTGAAGCATTCCCATGGTAGATTTCATGTTTTAGAGTTATAAACATGTTTAAAGCCCTATTGATGCTACTTTGTATCTTTATAAAACATTAATAATGTTTGGGGACCTCACTAAGGTCTTTCGGATAGCATAATAGGAGTTTTTGCACCTATTTTATGCTCTCTACAGGTTGAGTTTCGATACTAGAGGGATAGTATCGAAACTTGATCTTCTTTTCGGGCAAACTCGTGAGTTTCTGGGCAAGAGTATCAATGCTCTTTTAAGAGTATTAATACTTTGGGTCATAGTTTCGAAACTCCCAGAAAGTATCAAAACTGGGTGGTTTAGAATGTTTAAAAGTATCGATACTTGTAGAAATTATCGAAACTTTTGCAGAAGTATCGATACTCTTGGGCTAGTATCGATACTTTTGGGCTAGTATCGATATTTTCAGTCTGTTTTGGACAAAAGGCAAATTTTTAAGGGAATTAGACTCGAGGTACCTCACCACTTAAGTATATCATCAAATAAGGCTTCAAGAGCGAACAATAATTAATATCATAATAATAGAAACATAAATAGCTAGGTTACATAAAACTAGCCTTGTTTGACACTAGGGAAACAATCAGGACACCCGAGTTCCTTTTAGCAGAAATACGATAGTCAGTGGATCTAAGTCGGTGCCACGTTACTACAGTAGCCGACTGGGCGAAAGATTCCCCAAGACTCGATGGATTAAGTTTGTGGTTGTACGTTCTGATGCAAAATTCTAGATCTCACCCAGGAGCTCCCGATGGTGTTTTGACAGTACTAGAGGGGTGCGTGAGCTCCGAGATGCAGAATCTTTCAATCGCACCATGATGCCAACCACATATTAGTAGTCCAATAGTTGTATACTCAGACCTGTGCCACTTACCATTTCATTTAGTGA